TCTTCGCCTGATTTAACTGAAAATGCTCCCAAACTTTAGAAGTTTTAACTTTTTTGGGGTCTCGCTGCTTCTGCCATGTTCCTCTTACAAACACCTGCCGGCTCTCCACCGGTCTGCGCGCAACGGCGGGCGGGAGGGGAGGGGGCTTTTGGAAGAGTTGCGCAACACAACGAATCGATGACGCAATTCGTTGCCAACGCTTTTAGTAATCGATTTTCATCGAATTCATCGATTCGTTGTTGCAGCCCTACTGTACATTAATGCCACTGTTATGCACATACCAACCTCTGATTGTATATTTTATATCTCTTATCTTATTGTTTACTTTATTCATTTGTAAAACATGTATATACACACTATATACACACTCACACTAGGGTTGTCACGGTATGAAAATGTAACCTCACGGTTATTGTGACCAAAATTATCACGGTTTTCGGTATTATCGCGGTATTTTTTAAACGGTGTTGCATATGTTCAGAAAGCATTGATAGTCCTGTTCTACACAAACTGAAATAGTTCTGAAAAGGTTTAACAGTGTTTATTAAAGCTAAAATAACACAAAGCCTTAGCAAAAGTGCAACTTTTCACAAGTAAAGGAACAAATAGCTTCTTTTTCTGGAACATGTTACAGTAGTCAGTGCAGGTTTAAATGATACAAATCCAAACATTCAAAACATAAACAATATGTAAACAAATCAAAGAAACACCACTTGTTTTCTCATATACTTGTTTTCTTCATTATCAAAATGAAAATCTAAAACTCCAGTCTACACTTGACTTGAGCACTGTACAAGTCAACCTTAAAAAATATGTATTTAAAATAAATAGCCACTTTAAACAAATGACTAAAATAACTACTACACTATGTAATCAAATCCAAATGTTCAAGTATAAATGGCATTGAATAAGTAAACAAATCACTGACAAGGAACTAATTGTATATTTCTCTTCATCATCAACAAATAAGATGCTTCATCCAGCAACAGGGTGTCCGTGACACGGTTTAAATGCTGGCAGAGGACTCTGCGGCTGCAGGATATAGTGACTCGTTGCATTCTCCCTCAGCCAAAAGTCCTCACGTCATGCATTTAAGCTAAAATGCTAATGCTAACTTACCTTGCACTGGCTGTAGAGACGTGGGTGATGGTCACGCAGATGTGCCATGAGATTTGAAGTGTTGCTGCCTTCTGCAGACACTTGTTTCCTGCACGTTCTGCAAACGGGATAGCCGTCTTCTATTAACTGTCCCTCAGCGTTTTTCAGAAATCCCAAATATGCCCATACTTCCGATTTAGTCTTCTTTGAGGGCTGATGGATGTCCTGGGCGCTGCCGTCTCCTCCTTCGGCCATTATTTCAGCTTCAAAGTTTTGGTGCCGTTGCAAACTAAAAAGTGCGTGTGCGCGCCGCGGGAACTTCAGCAGAAGCGACGGTGGCTGGTAAGGGTCACCGCGCTGAAACCGCGGCCACGGTAAACCCACCGAGATAATTTAGTTTTTTAAAAACTGGACGGTTATTTTTATTGTCAACTTTTTTACCGGGGTTTACCGCTATACCGGTTACCGTGACAACCCTAACACACACACACGCAGAAAAAGATAGTACACACATTCAGCAATGTATATACCTTACATACTATACATATTATTACTTAGATTAGCCATTTTAATATTTTACTTGTTTTTACATTACTGTATTTTAGCACAACTCTGTTGCTGTGAAGCTCGCACACAAGAATTTCACTCGCACGTACTGTACCAGTGTACCTGCACATGTGACGTGACAATAAAAGTGATTTGATTTTTAACAACTTTCAGACAAACAACCAAACAGTTATTTGAAATAAATTTAAATTCACTGCTGCTTTGTGTAAAACATTCAGAGCATCAACCAATCATTCTAAAACGAACAAATTTAATCAGAAAATACATATTTTCAGAAATGGAACTTGAGCATTTTCTCCTGCAGCAGTGCATTGTGGGTAATACCCTTCACCCAAGTCCGCATCGATGCAGACTTGGGTGAAGTGTGGATCAAGGGTCCAAAAGGGGCGTGATCAACTTGCACACTTGGGAATCGGGACACCCTGCAAGGGTGCAAGTACGAGTATTGGGATTGGGCCGTTATCGTCGGACGTTATTGAGGTGAAATTCTCAATATATCGTGATATTGCTTTTAGGCCGTTCCGCCCAGCCCTAAGCTGAATGAATCAGATGTTTTGGGTTTGATCAGAGTTCTGCTTGGCCCGGTTGGCTGAGCCAGTAATGTTGGTATTGTGCACGTGTGGAACTCACACACCTAATGTGACCTGTGTGAGGTTGGATAATCACAGTAATAGGAGATGGTGAGAGCAGCTTTGTTTATTTACTGTAACAGTAAAGCTCCCATGGATGGTTTAGGAGGCTCGTGCACACCGAAATGGAACGGGCTCGTGCGGACAGAGGGGCAGTAAACCCACGGGCTTCCACAGACGACTATTTTAGTAGTGGACTAATCGTGTCATTCATAAAAGTTAAGCTTATTGCACCAGGATGCTCTAAGGTACCATCATTAGCTGTGATCAGCTATGGGCCATCTAGTAATAAAGACGAGATGATAGCTTATCAAACAGCTCTAATTAACTTTGTAACCTGTTAATACAAATGCTGCAGTCACATGGAGGTAGGCACCTAAAACCAAACAAGACTTGTGTTTACAAGAGGCATGGTGGTGAGGTTGAAGAGCTTCATCTTCCAATCATAACTCAGGAAACGGCAGGACACTCCACGGTACGCCTCTGTAGCGCGGCTGGTCCACACGTCAGCAGTCAGGGACCATCGACCGCTCTGAGGGTCTGCTTTACCGTAAAGATAAAAGATATTAAAGTTAGTGTATTTACCAGATTAATAATTCTGTTATATGTAATAAAGTAGGTTAAGATTTAACACAAAGAAACAGTTTTATGCTTTAAAATATTAGTTTCAGTCAGCAACCTTTTTATTTTGTAATCTATTATATTCTAATGTTTATTTTATTTGTGTCCAGAGGGAGAGGGAGAGAGAGAGACACACACACGCACACACACACACGCACGCACACACACACACACCTTAAAGGCTGTTTCATATTTCTTTTCCATCACGGTGGTGAAATGGGATCAGCCTGGTAAATGGTAGTCATGGTAACCTGGGTTGAGCTGCTTGATCATGTCTGAAACGTGGATACCGACCCACAGCCCTCGGTCAGGACGTTAGCTTGCTGGCTGTGCGCGTAACTAGCTGGTCTGTGGAAGAGGAGCACTGTTATTAACGTAGCGGGATGAAATAAATCATTAGTTTGTAATTGGAGCAAAAATACGTGACATAAATGTGTTCTAAAGGTAATGACATCACCACCACTATGGTGTTGCTACAGCTATGTTAGCAGCTAACGAAGTAAACGTACCGAGGCGACTCTTTGTTCTCCGCCATGACGTGCTTCCTCTGGAGGTCCTCGTGCGTCGCTGCTGTGCTCCCGTGAAAGGAGACTTTCACTCTACAGACCTTTCTTTGGTCTTTGTAACCGTTTTAGCTACGTTGCTGACTCACCGTGTTTTCTTTCTCCGGTGATGAAGGCTGACCTGGATGCCCGCTACTGCGCATGTGCGTTGATCAGAGACGCAGGAAGAAACCACCGAACGTGCTGCGGCAGGCGAGATTTAAAAATGTTAATAAAATAAACAACGCGTCGGCTATTAGATGAATAGTCGACTTTTGTTTGTCAACATTGTCGTGATGAGTCGACTAATCGTGGCAGTCCTACAGATGACACGAATAACCGTCTGATCGTCGCTGATGTGCTGTTAGCATGAGCTCATCACAGAGAAGTTCCTCCTTCTGCTACCTGTTCAGGTTTCATCAGGATCGGATCCTGGAGCAGCAGAGTCTTCAGGTAGAGGAGGGATAAATCCGTGGCGTGCTGACTCGGCACAAACACACAGTGGTTTTGTTTGTGTCTGAATGTAGGCTATCAGACCGCACACACGGTTACCACGGTAATCAGATTTACTCAGCTGACCTTCTTCCTCACAAGCTCCTCACGTCTGTTCCTGAGCTCAGGTTCAGGAGTCGGGAATGGAAACCAGTTACCACAGACCAGAGGGGCCAGGGCCCATTTAAGGCCACCAGTAACAAAGAGAGCACTCGTGGTAGTCTTTACTCTGGGAGGTTCTGGTGCTCCCTCGCGGAAAAGTTTATTTTTGTTGTTTTGTTCCTCTGAAGCGTTTTGGATCAGTTAGGAAGTTCAGCTGCTGGTCACTAAGGTTTTATCACTGGTGTGTTACAGTAACAAAAATGCCCCGAAATCCCAGAATAGATCAGCACCGTAGCGGCGCGCAGCCGCCAGCTCCATGGCCAGCTGCACCGTCAGCCCAAAGGAAGTTCAGGAAACATCAGAATGAATTCCTGTCGGCGTTCCCAGTGTGAGTCAGCCGGAGTATTAACCCCAGCTCATGGAAAACAACAGTAACTGTCTGGCTTAGTGACGCAGACACGAGGATTTATCACCACAGGGTTTACAGCTGCAGCCAGGTCAGGGGTCAAAGGTCATCAGGAACCAGAACCGGTGTCTCAGCTTCCTGTCCTTCCCTGGAGTCTGGGACTGGCATCAGCACCTGCTGCTGCTAAATATAACACGCACGCACGCGCACACACACACACACACACACTGCATAAATGAGCAGTTAATCTCATCAGTAACGTATGAAGTCTTGGATTATGTTCCTGCTGCAGCTGTTTCCTCTCAGATTAAAGTACAGCATTATGCTATAATCCCGGCCATCGTTACCTGCTCTGTTTACCTGTGGGATGAAATGACCTGGTTCAGGTGTGAGCTCTAAACATCAGCTGCTAGCAAAGAAGTGGAATAATCTGAGTTTAGCTGAGTGACATGAGGGTGGGGGCAGGGTCAGAGGCAGGGAAACCTGTGGAACTCGCCTGGTTACACTCGATTCGTCACATGATTCATGTGTTTCATCTCTCAGGTCCCCTGGTGAAGACGGCACCACCCAGGGGTGTGGAGTGGGACTGCATCTTCTCACAGCCAACAGCCTCCTGAAGCTCTTCTGCTGTTGCCAGATGGACCTGGACCTGTAGGGCAGCAGCGAGTCAGGACTGAAATCAGCCGAGGAGCGGAGCGGCGCGGCGCGGGAGCAGGAAGGGCAGAGGAGAGGACGAGGGGCTCCACCATGTCGTCCAACAGGGGACAGAACCCTCATGGACTGAAACAGATCGGTCTGGACCAGATCTGGGATGACCTGCGGGCTGGAATCCAGCAGGTGTACACGCGGCAGAGCATGGCCAAGGCCCGCTACATGGAGCTCTACACGTATCCTGCCGGGCCTCCACCCAAACCCAGTTGCATAGTGGTTCTGTTTGTTTACAGTAGTGTCACACCAGGCTCAGAGGGAATAAAACAAACATCAGGAATGTTTCAGAGATCCCAATCCGTGTCCCCGACGGTCCCGACCCGCAGAGGGACGGACTGGTCCAAAAGTGGTTCTACAGCCGTTTACGTGTTTAATCTGCACCAGAACGTTCTCGCAGCGTTAAACCGTGAAGCACCTTTAAAGCTGCTCTGGACAATAAATGAGTTTGAAACATGTTTTCATGCCTCTAACAGCGTTCCAGCGGAGTAGCTATACAAACGTCGTCATGGAGATAAAAACAAAGTGGTCCTCTCACTGTGTCTAAAAACCTCCACCAACTACACGACTCGGACCAAAACCAACCACCCACCCGGGTCCCTGGGTCCTCCACTCATCACCACAGGTGGAAAGAGTACTCAAAGTTCCTACTTAAGTACGAGTACTAATACTTTGATAATTTTTTACTCAAGTAAAAGTAAAAAGTATCGTAAACAAAATGTACTCAAAGTAACATTTTTGTCAGCGTACATCTACATCCAAGTAGTGCTAATTCACAACGCCAGTTCACAATTCACTCGTGTGTCTGCGCGCGCACGCACACACACACAGCAGCATGTTAGAATCATGTGAATGACTAATTTAACTACACTGAACTACTTTAGTAATAATTTAATCTCTTATTCTGGAGTAAAATAAAGAAACAAGCTAAATCATCACATATCTGTGGCATCAAGAAGCATCTTCTGAGTTCAAACACAGGGATGGAGCAGAATGTTTACACCTGAACAGCATCAGGATGTTTTAACTCACAGAGGCCTGCAGGTCTTCTGTTTTATGAGCAGAGCGCTGAGAATCCGCTTGTTAGGAGCGCTAAACGTTATTTTGCCGCTGCCGTGCGGAGCGGTAGGGAAACACGTTTCTAACACGGAACCGAGTCCGGCTACCGAACCGAGCAGAATTGTGATGACGTCACACCGGTGCGTGAAGGTGCGGTTCCAACCCAGAGAGGAGGTGAACAGCGCGTGGATCACAGGGACTGAACCGATGTTTTAGAGCAGAAGTGTACCCCCCCCACCCCACCCCCGGTTTAGAGGCGGCGCTCATGCAGGTGTCTCTCTCCGTTCCGACGCTGCGACACGTAATATTTTTAATTTATTAAGCCTATAATTCATTTTTACTCAGTAATGGATATGATTTAAAATTTAGCGAATTACAATTCTTTTTTAAAAACGTACTCAAGTAAAAGTAAAAGTACAGATTTTAAAAACGACTTAAAAATTATAAATATACAAAAAAACTACTCAATTACAGTAACGTGAGTAAATGTAATTCATTACTTTCCACCTCTGCTCATCACACTCACGTATTCAGCAGCACACCGCAGGTGTGTAAGGTCCTCCACTCAACAACACCAGAGTAGGAGAAACAGCCGCTGCTACCGCTTCAGCTGTGGGACAAACTACCAGAGTCCCAAAGAGAAAAACACAACAAAAGACGTTTGGACCTAGAAAGCGGTGACTGGTGTTTAGCGCTATCTCGCTTCCTCCAGCATCGCAGGTTTCTGGTTGGCGGACGCGGATCCAGGGAAGATACCTGAGGGTGGGGGGGCGTGTCTGCTTGTTCTGTAGATTTGCTAAAGTAGCTCTAGGTTTGAGCTGTGACCAGAACCTGAACCAGAAACCAGAAGTTTAGTAAACGTAACAGGTTATTATAAAGTCTCAGATTTTCAGAATAAAACCAGATCAGAACTGAGTTTATGGTAGAAACTAAACAGCTGTGTGGTACTTCCTGTCTGCGTCCTGGTTTGTCTAAAACTAGGAAGCAATCACTTCAGCAGGTTTTATTTATTGGTTCTTTAACCCGTAGAGACACGACGTTTAACACCTTCATAACCATCCCGTTCCTCACCTGTAGAGACCCACAGAGTTCCTGAACTGCTCCTCAGACATGTATATAACTATTGCACCAGCGTCCACCAGTCCAGCCAGGTCAGAGGCCCCTTGGCTCCAGCCAAGCCCTCCAAGAAGTCCACCACCCCGGGAGGGGCTCAGTTTGTGGGGCTGGAGCTCTACAAGCGACTCAAAGAGTTCCTGAAGAACTACCTGACCAGCCTGCTGAAGGTCCGTCCAGCCTGACGCTCGTCACGATAACGAGCTGCAGCTCTCTGGTCTAACTGCTGCGTGTCCCTGCAGGATGGCGAGGACCTGATGGACGAGTGTGTGCTGAAGTTCTACACCCAGCAGTGGGAGGACTACCGCTTCTCCAGTAAGGTCCTAAACGGGATCTGCGCCTACCTCAACCGCCACTGGGTCCGACGGGAGTGTGACGAGGGCCGCAAGGGCATCTACGAGATCTACTCGGTAAGGTCAAAGGTCACCCACACCCTGTGTGTGTCAGTGAAGATCTGATAGCCGACCTGCCAACCTGTACTTATTTTACGTAGCAAATGCGCAACATCTAAATACGCCCGTACGACTCACCCCTCTAAAGTACGCCAAAAGCTGCAGGCACGTGAGTTCTGTAGCGGATGTGCACGCCTGGTGCTCATGTCTGCAACACGACGCAGCAGCCTGGCGAAGAAGTTTTAGCCAATCGTCGTAGAAACGCAGGAAGAATATTTTTGCCTAAGCTGTAGCGTAACACCCCCGCCCCTCCTGGACCAGAGTCTACATTAGCAGCTAAACCCAGAACAGACGGCTGGTAAATGTAAAACCCTCAGCAGGTCAGTGAAAGTCCAAACAAGGCAACTTTCTTCTGTGAGTTTGGATTCTCGTGTCGGCAACATGTTTTTCAGTCCTTCAGGTTTATAAACGGCTACGTTTAGTTCAGGAGTTTATTTTGGTCTAGGGCTGCAGCTATCGAATATTTTTGTAATCGAGTACTCTATCGAATCTTTTTTCGATTAATCGAGTACTCTAATAAATTACCCTTTTGTGTTTGTAAACCTTTATATCATATATTGATGAGCCAAGATGGCGCCGAGTATGGCTGCCTCGTCGCGAGCTCCACCAAGTTCCAACATTACACGCTCCATACTGTACATTAATTCCACTGTTTTGCACATACCAACCTCTGTACATTTTATATCTCTTATCTTATTGTTTACTTTATTCATTTGTATACTTAGATTAGCCATTTTTATATTTTACTTGTTTTTACATTACTGTATTTTTGCACAACTATTGCTGTGAAACTCGCACACAAGAATTTCACTCTCATGTACTGTACCAGTGTACCTGCACATGTGACGTGACAATAAAAGTGATTTGATTTGATATCAAATAGCATGTTATAATTATGAAAGACCTCTTAAAATGAGCAAGCAATTGCCAGTTATTCAAGTTTTATTCAAAATTAGTTTGCATAACTTCAGCACTTCAACTTTACTTCACAGAAAACAAATGCCTGTGCAAAAAATAAGTAAACAACCTGAGCCGATTTTCCCCTCGTGCGAGAATCTGCTAGCCTGCAAGTCAGACAAAAACTAGGAGGATAACGCTGCGAGCGGCTTCGGCCCAAACAGAACCAGAACCACTCACAGCGCAAACAGCTCGCCGGCTGTTTCCCTATTAACACACGTCCGTTTTAATTTCCACACTTTTTTTCTCACACTAACAAGGATTGCCAAAAGCATGTTTGCTGTGGTTTTGTCAAATTATACTGATCACAAAACATTTATTTACTTTCTTTCGTTTTCCTCCGCCACTCATAAATACCCGTGTCCTCCTGCAGAAACCCCGAGGGACAACAGACATCAATAACACAATAAAAAGTCCGACGTGTTGTGTAAAAACTGCTATTTTTAGCACATTTTAAGCCCGACGTGTTGCTACCAGATGTACGGTGTGAGCTGAAACTGAGTGCTACAAACGAAAAAGTCGCAGAGTCCGCTGAAAATATAGAAAAACAGGCTAAAAAGCATTATCTTGTAGAGGCTCCGAGTCCGCTTGCAGAAGTGACATTTACAGGTGCTGCAGCACGGAGGATGTGGTGTTGTGCTAGGCTAAATCCATTTTACTGTATTTATACTGGACTACGTTTTCCACCTTACGACGTGAAAAATGGTTCCACAACTTTGACATTTTCTGTCTTTTTCGCACTCCACCGGGGTTCACGTTGTCCGCCATGGCTTAAGAGAAAGTTAAGTTACATTCGCCACTCGCGTGTGCATTCAGTTCAGTGGGCATGTGCGTCACTTATTTCGGTCCGGGTGAAACATGACCCCGGGCGATTGCAAAGCCATAAATTAATTAAATATGAATTAAACGAATCCTCGAGGCAGAGAATTTGACTCGAGGATTTTTTGTACTCGAATTATTCGAGGTACTCGAGGAATCGTTTCAGCTCTATTTTGGTCACCCATCAAATAAAACGTTTTATAACTAGAGCAGATTAAAGATGCAGGAAGTAGAAAAATGAGCTGGAATAAACCTTTCCATATTAGAAACTAGAAAGGGAACTAATTCAGTTTAACATCCGGTGAGCGGGAACATTACAGCGTGGAAAACAACGGAGTTGCAACGGTCTGCAAAAACCGCTGCACATGTGGTACTCAAAGATTATTACAAGGTTGGCAGGTCTGTGATGGGTTTAGGTACAATCAGTAAAGTTCACTAATGAGGGAATACAAATCCTCTCTTATAATAAAACAGCAGTTTCCTGATCCTCCCCCTACTGGTGGAAAGTGGAATTACAATGGTCTTAAACAACCCTGCAGTTGCCTGATGTAGCTAGCGCTAACAACGAGCTAACAGATCCACACTGTTGGACAAAAGTATTACTTACAGGTCCTGTAGCAACAAGGCCAGGTCACCATCAGTCTGTGATGTCATTGCCACGAGACTAGCGTAGGTCATGCCGATGTTCACTGGTTTTAGCTCTTTGCTTCACCTCCGCAGACATTACTCTCACTTCCAGCCTCCGCAACGATGCCGACAGAGAATGCAAACTTCTCCTTCTTGTGCTTTTTATTGACGATCGATGAATTGAAAAGGCTAACTGCTAGCCTGTTAGTAGCTACCCACATAGATAAAGGCTAACTGCGAGCCTGTTAGTAGCTACCCACATAGATAAAGGCTAAATGCTAGCCTGTTAGTAGCTGCCCACGTAGATAAAGGCTAACTGCTAGCCTGTTAGTAGCTACCCACGTAGATAAAGGCTAACTGCTAGCCTGTTAGTAGCTACCCACATAGATAAAGGCTAACTGCTAGCCTGTTAGTAGCTACCCACATAGATAAAGGCTAACTGCTAGCCTGTTAGTAGCTACCCACATAGATAAAGGCTAACTGCTAGCCTGTTAGTAGCTACCCACGTAGATAAAGGCTAACTGCTAGCCTGTTAGTAGCTACCCACGTAGATAAAGGCTAACATCCGTTAAGCTAGGACCCTGACCCGCACCACCAAACTGTTTCTGGGCGACAGACGGCGTCCCACATGAGGCTGGTAAACACACACACACACACTGACCTCTGACCTCATGTTTCTGCAGCTGGCTCTGGTCACGTGGAGGGAGTGTTTATTCCGACCGCTCAACAAACAGGTGAGTCTTCTAGACGAGTCGGAGATGAATCAGCTGTTATTTCTAAACGTTAACCCCCCCCCCCACCACCACCAGGTAACAAACGCCGTTCTGAAGCTGATCGAGCGCGAGCGGAACGGAGAGACCATCAACACCCGACTGATCAGCGGAGTCGTCCAGTCCTACGGTGGGTCTTCTGGGTCGGGTCAGAACTTCCTGGGTTTCATTTATTCATCAGGTTTT